TGCTAAATTGCTATTTCAACGAAACATGGTCTACGGTGGGGCTGATTTGAGGCGGATTCCTAGACGTGGGGCTTGGTTATGGAAGCGGTTATAGTGGGTGGTGTCCTAGCGGCGGCTATGGCAGCGTTGGTTATAAAGGCGGTTATGGCGATGATGGTTATACAGGTGGTGGCTATGGTGGGTGGGGGATCTGGCCGCGGCTATAGAGTCAGTGTATGGGGGTGGTTAGGGCAGTGGTGGTGGTAGTGGTTATGACGATATGAGAGGTGATGGTTATAGCGGATGCAACGGCTACGACGTTTGTGGTTGCAGGTCTAGGATTCCGTTTTTTGATGTGCGTGGATGACTATGACTTACTATGGATTATTGTGAGTGTCAACAAGACGCTGACGAATAGGGTAAGAAGGGGAATTAGGGTTTTCGAATTGTATGAGTAAGAATATAACTGTAGTTACTACAGATTACTACGGGTTTTTACGGTTGTCTATAGATGACTACGAAAAAATTAAAAATTAAAATATATAATTTGCATAATTTTCAATATATGCAGAAAAAAGCAAATAATTAGGTTTTTATAATAGTGAAAAAAATACAAATATGGAAAAGAAAACATGTTCTACGTAAAAAAAATGTTAGATGGAACATCGAAGATAACGCAGAATAAAAAAAAAATGATAAATGTTGTTTGAATATTACTTGGTGCATATTCCACTTTTTGTGTGTGAAGGGCAATTATAAAATGAATTTAGTAAAGAATGTGAAGTAGAAGTTTAGTTGGGTTTTGTCACCGAAACCTATATCTTAAGAAACATATATTAAATATGCTGACTCGGTCAATACCAACTGATAAGTGTTCATTTTACATTATTTTCACTTATCAATTCTTCGAGTTTTGGTCTTCGTTCGTCCGAGTTTTCGGCTTTATTTGTATATATTATGTTGTTTTTGTTTTATTTATATTTTACGTAAAGAGAAGCTATTTTTTCCGATTCGAAACGATTTTGGAAGCGAAGCCGAAAATCAAACCAAACACGTGCAAAAGTGCATTCTCGCGGATTGTGGCGGTGTTTGGTATTTCAAACATTACTTTCGCATATGACTTCCGATTGAGCTGATTCAAGTGGTCTTAGAAAGCTGACTTCAAGATCTACAACTTCTGTGAAATGCAAAATTGTCCAATTCAGGCTACAAAAGTGTCAAACAGTGTTTGAAGTTGACGCAGAAGACCAGATCGCGATCCAGCCTTTCTGTATCGCGATATGGGGGATCTTACATAAGGCTTTCTTGATCAGGACCCAGATCGCGATCCATCCTTCCTAGATCACGATCTGGGGGGTCTCACATTACATTTTTTGATGAAAAACCAGATCGCGATCCACCATTCCGTATCGCGATCTAGAAAGGCGGTGCGCAGTTTCCAAGGCTGCCAGATCGCGATCCAAGAATCCCAGATCGCGATCTGGGCACATAATTCAAGACGAGATATTTTTCTTTGATTTTTTACTATAAATAGAAGGTCTCTTATTCATTTTTCAGAATCCCGACCATATCATGATTATCTCTCGACCTCTTCTTCGGTTTTCTCTTCGGTTTTCGCCAGTTCTTGGCGGGAAGCTTCGACGAGGGTTTTGACTCGGGTTTTTCATAAGCTTTTATTTACGTTTAGTTTATGATTTCTCGTGTTCTTCATTTTGATGCTATATTTGTAATGAACTAAGCATTTTCTTTTGGGGAAATGAAACCTTGTATATATTGATTTTGATTTCCAGATCTGTGATCTATTTGTCGTTCTTTGATTTTGTGTATGTTTTCCTGTATTAAATGCTTTCGATTGTTTGGACAACAGTTGAATTGATTCTAAATAAGAATCAACTCGAGAGAGGATTTCTCGTTTGATTTTAGGAAAACATAGCTCGGGTTGTGGAAACGGAAACGTGATGCACGTCGGGTAGCCCTTAAGGACTTGACCTAAATGCTCTCTTAATATCAGGTTCTGAACGGAGACGTCGGACTTGTGGGTAGACTCTAACTACACTGGAGACGGGGGTTAGGGTACTTTAGTGCCTGGGTTAGCGAACATAGAATTGACATTAGATTCGAATTTGTAGATCTTTATCGATAGTACACTGGTGGATTTTACCCTATATATAAGATTAAATATGCCTCATTTTCCAGTTTTTTTTTCTCATTTGAAATTAGTTCTTCTTGCTCATTTTTTCTTCTTAGTTTCATATAATGTACAGTGGCAACTCTAGTTGTCATCTACAAATAGTCTGAGCTCAATTTCATATAACATTCTAAACCAAACTGCATTAGTAACCGGATACCTAATTTTTTAATTAAACAATGTAACTCAAAATTGGACTTAAGTTGGGATAAACATCTCTCGATGTAAGTCAAACCTCCAACATATTAAAAAAGATATGCTCAAATTAATAAAATATTAAAATAAGCTAAACAATTGCTTAAAAGATCATCCAAGTACTATTTACAAGATGAGCTTCGTCGGAAAAAAATGAAGACGAGAATGACTTTGTATTTCTTATTTTGGCTAAAATATTTTATTAGTACTAAAGTTCAC